GTTTTGGTGTTTCTGTTATTTTTCTTTTGCTAGAGTGACTTTAAAGTGCCTTTATCCTGTGGAGTTTTTGGTGTAGGTTATTTTTCCTTTGCTAAAGTGACTTTAAAGTGCCTTTATCCTGTGGAATTTTTGGTGTATGTTATTTTTCCTTTGCTAAAGTGACTTTAAAGTGCCTTTATCCTGTGGAATTTTTGGTTTATGTTATTTATCCTTTGCTAGAGTGACCTTTAAATGCCTTTATCCTGTGGAATTTTGGTGTTTCTGTTATTTTTCCTTTGCTAGAGTGACTTTATCCTGTGGAATTTTGGTTTTTCTGTTATTTTTCCTTTGCTAGAGTGACTTTAAAGTGCCTTAATCCTGTGGAATTTTGGTGTTTCTGTTATTTTTCTTTTGCTAGAGTGACTTTTAAAGTGCCTTTATCCTGTGGAATTTTTGGTATATGTTATTTATTCTTTGCTAGAGTGACTTTAAAGTGCCTTTATCCTGTGGAATTTTTGGTGTATGTTATTTTTCCTTTGCTAAAGTGACTTTAAAGTGCCTTTATCCTGTGGAATTTTTGGTGTATGTTATTTTTTCTTTGCTAGAGTGACGTTAAAGTGCCTTAATCCTGTGGAATTTTTGGTGTATGTTATTTTTCCTTTGCTAAAGTGACTTTAAAATGCCTTTATATTGAGGAATTTTTGGTGTATCTGTTATTTATCCTTTGTTAGAGTGACTTTAAAGAGCCTTTATCCTGTGGAATTTTTGGTGTTTCTGTTATTTTTCCTTTGCTAGAGTGACTTTAAAGGGCCTTTATCCTGTGGAATTTTTGGTGTATGTTATTTTTCCTTTGCTAAAGTGACTTTAAAGTGCCTTTATCCTGTGGAATTTTTGGTTTTTCTGTTATTTTTCCTTTGCTAGAGTGACTTTAAAGTGCCTTTATCCTGTGGAATTTTGGTGTTTCTGTTATTTTTCTTTTGCTAGAGTGACTTTAAAGAGCCTTTATCCTGTGTAATTTTTGGTGTAGGTTATTTTTTCTTTGCTAAAGTGACTTTAAAGTGCCTTTATCCTGTGGAATTTTTGGTGTATGTTATTTTTCCTTTGCTAAAGTGACTTTAAAGTGCCTTTATCCTGTGGAATTTTTGGTATATGTTATTTATTCTTTGCTAGAGTGACTTTAAAGTGCCTTTATCCTGTGGAATTTTGGTGTTTCTGTTATTTTTCCTTTGCTAGAGTGACTTTAAAGTGCCTTAATCCTGTGGAATTTTGGTGTTTCTGTTATTTTTCTTTTGCTAGAGTGACTTTAAAGAGCCTTTATCCTGTGGAATTTTTGGTGTAGGTTATTTTTTCTTTGCTAAAGTGACTTTAAAGTGCCTTTATCCTGTGGAATTTTTGGTGTATGTTATTTTTCCTTTGCTAAAGTGACTTTAAAGTGCCTTTATCCTGTGGAATTTTTGGTATATCTTATTTATTCTTTGCTAGAGTGACTTTAAAGTGCCTTTATCCTGTGGAATTTTTGGTGTATGTTATTTTTCCTTTGCTAAAGTGACTTTAAAGTGCCTTTATCCTGTGGAATTTTTGGTGTATGTTATTTTTTCTTTGCTAGAGTGACGTTAAAGTGCCTTAATCCTGTGGAATTTTTGGTGTATGTTATTTTTCCTTTGCTAAAGTGACTTTAAAATGCCTTTATATTGAGGAATTTTTGGTGTATCTGTTATTTATCCTTTGTTAGAGTGACTTTAAAGAGCCTTTATCGTGTGGAATTTTTGGTGTTTCTGTTATTTTTCCTTTGCTAGAGTGACTTTAAAGGGCCTTTATCCTGTGGAATTTTTGGTGTATGTTATTTTTCCTTTGCTAAAGTGACTTTAAAGTGCCTTTATCCTGTGGAATTTTTGGTTTTTCTGTTATTTTTCCTTTGCTAGAGTGACTTTAAAGTGCCTTTATCCTGTGGAATTTTTGGTGTATGTTATTTTTCCTTTGCTAGAGTGACGTTAAAGTGCCTTAATCCTGTGGAATTTTTGGTGTATGTTATTTTTCCTTTGCTAAAGTGACTTTAAAATGCCTTTATATTGTGGAATTTTTGGTGTATCTGTTATTTATCCTTTGTTAGAGTGACTTTAAAGAGCCTTTATCCTGTGGAATTTTTTGTGTTTCTGTTATTTTTCCTTTGCTAGAGTGACTTTAAAGGGCCTTTATCCTGTGGAATTTTTGGTGTATTTTATTTTTCCTTTGCTAAAGTGACTTTAAAGTGCCTTTATCCTGTGGAATTTTTGGTGTTTCTGTTATTTTTCCTTTGCTAAAGTGACTTTAAAGTGTCTTTATCCTGTGGAATTTTTGGTGCATGTTATTTTTCCTTTGCTAGAGTGACGTTAAAGTGCCTTAATCCTGTGGAATTTTTGGTGTATGTTATTTTTCCTTTGCTAAAGTGACTTTAAAATGCCTTTATACTGTGGAATTTTTGGTGTATCTGTTATTTATCCTTTGTTAGAGTGACTTTAAAGAGCCTTTATCCTGTGGAATTTTTTGTGTTTCTGTTATTTTTCCTTTGCTAGAGTGACTTTAAAGTGCCTTTATCCTGTGGAATTTTTGGTGTTTCTGTTATTTTTCCTTTGCTAAAGTGACTTTAAAGTGTCTTTATCCTGTGGAATTTTTGGTGCATGTTATTTTTCCTTTGCTAAAGTGACTTTAAAGTGCCTTTATTCTGTGGAATTTTTGGTCCATAAGTGAATCCACAGGAGCCAAGTCTTTTTTTTTTGGTTCCCCCCCCCCCCCCCTTTCCAATAACCAAGATGGCGGACAATAAACAAACATCGCAAAATCGAGTTTTTTTCTTGTTTCTTGCTTATAGTACATCCTGTCAAGCAATTGTAATGTTGGAGTATAATACCGTGGACAACATAGGGTGACATAGTCGCTCACTTCCCCTGGTGTGGGACCCCTGAAAGGGGCATAACTCTTTAAAAATATTTGAACTCCATTTATTTTCAAAGTGTCAAAGACATTGCTGATATAAACCTAAGATATAAATTTCAAACAATTCTGGCAAGAATTGTACACATGAGAGTGCTAACAATGCAATTTTCCACATAATTAATATCTCTAAGGGGCATAACTCTTTTAAAACTAATTTATCGCCAAAGATTTTTTAATTCATCTAAGACATTGCTGATATAAATCTATAATATAAATTTCAAAAAAATCTGGCAAGAATTGTACAAATGAGAGCACTAACAATGCAATTTTTCATATAATTAATTAATGTTTCCAAGGGCATAACTCTTTTAAAAATAATTGATCATCACTGATTTTTGAACTCATCCGGGACATAGCTGATATAAACCTACAATATAAATTTCATAAAAATCTGGCAAGATTGTACACATGAGAGCGCTAACAATGCAATTTTCCTTATAATTAACATTTCCAAGGGGCATAACTCTTTTAAAAATAATTGATCGGCACTGATATAAACCTATGTTATAAGTTTTATAAAAATCTGCCTATAATTGTACATGTGAAAGCGCTAACGAGACCTGAAACCGGCCGGTATTTCTATGTCCCCCCACCCCCCATGTGTAGCGTGGGGCACAAAAAAGGAAATAAATGGAGAATGTGTCCCCATGGACACAGATGATGCCCGCTTGCATACAACATTATAAAGGGACATAACTCAAGAACAGTGACGCTACCCAAATTTCTGCTTGATCTGAGTTTTGTGGTAATAAGTATTGTGTAAAGGTTTCATAATGTTTGGTTGGGGAAAACTTAAGTTACAGAAGGGAAACTAAAAATTTTGCATTTTTTTCCATTTTATAAAGGGGCATAACTCGATAATGATTAAAGTGACGCCACCAAAATTCAACTTGATCTGTGTTTTGTGGTAATAAGTATTGTGTATAAGTTTCATAACATTTGGTTGAGGCAAACTTAAGTTAGAGAAAGGAAACTAAAAATTTTGTAATTTTTCCATTTACAAAGGGGCATAACTCTAGAACAGTTAGAGTGACGCTACCAAAATTCAAACTTGATCTGTATTTTGCGGTTATAAGCATTGTGTATAAGTTTTATAACATTTGGTTGAGGCAAACTCAATTCAGAGAACAGAAACCAATTTTGGGACGAACGGACGTACATACAGACGGACAAGGGTAAAACTTAATGTCCCCTCCGCTACGGCGGGTGCATAAAAATTTAATTTCTACTTTTTTTGTGTTAAACAGTCGACTTCTTGTTTAATTGTTCATTTAAATTTTTTAAAGATATTACTTAAGTCAATATAGTGTTTTGTGTAAGGAAAAATCAATAGTGACCATGTAAAATGTTTTGACTATATAGTTATAACTAGTGAGTAATATTCACTTTATTTCATTAATCATGTAACAATGATTACCATATGATTGAATAAGTCAAAATTTCATGTTTTGAAACTCTAAATTTATGATACATTGAAGGGTTGTCATACCTTATGCAATTAATGCTAAAAGAAACTTTTCATTTTCATCGTATTAATTACCAGGACCATGTGAGTATTCAGACCATATAGGTATTTTTCGAGTTAATTCCAACTTCCTTTGCAGGAATATACAACTAGTTTTCCAAACCAAAACTGGCTCAAATACTCATACAGTCTGGAACATTAATACAGAACTTTTGTATGTAAATCAATTTTCAATAGAATCATTTTTATATTCAACAAAAAAATATTCATTATTATATTTGTTTTAACATATGAAGAACAAAAATAAGTCCATAGTACATGGGTGCCCCACTCGCACTATCATTTTCTATGTTCAGGGGACTGTGTAATTGGGGTCAAAACTCTAATTTTGCATTAAAATTAGAAAGATCATATCATAGGGAACATGTGTACTAAGTTTCAAGTTGATTGGACTTCAACTCATCAAAAACTACCTTGACCAAAAACTTTAACCTGAAGTGGGACAGACAGACGAACGAACGGACGCACAGGCTGAAAAACATAATACCCCTCTAATATCGTAGGTGGGGCATAAAAATTGTACCTGTAGGTCATAAGCTAGTTCTGAAGTTGCAGCTTTTGTTTGAATTTCCAGGTCATAATGTGCCTTCTTCAACTCGAAATCTCTCTGGGCCTTTGCAATTTCTACATCATTAGCATAGCGAGCAGTCATTCTTGCCTCTTCTGCAATGGCTTCCTGTTTTAAAATGTACCATATAATAATGATGTATAAACATTAAAGCACTAATTGAAGATCGCAATAATATTTTATTTTCCCATTAAAAAATTATGTATCATTAACTCCTGCAAAAACATTGTTTGGACTACAGTAAACATTAGGGTAAAAAACTGTCAACACCGATATATCTCATTCTTTCTTTGAGGCAAAAATATAAAGATGGATTGGGCCATATGTGCTAGTATACAGAAACCACTAGATAGCAAATATGAATTTGACCTAGGAAATATAGAGCTAAAATAAATATGGATCTATTTCCCTCCCCCTTATATGACTGTGATCTTAACCTTCGATGTATATTTTGTCTTATCCTTTGGTAGAACTGGTTTATTTTAAATCGTAACAAAACCAATCGTCTAAAAAGGGTTCTCCTGAAATTTTGCCTAAAAAACAATTTTACTTTCTTATTTTTTTAAGTACTTTATAAGAAAATGGCAACAAGATAGTAAATCATATCATTCAACATAATGTGTATTGTCCATATTTGATGCATTCATGTATAAAACCAATACACCTCACATCAAACTATTTGAATCAAAAAAACATTGATCATTTAACCTAGAAATGAAGGTCAAACTGAGGACTTAACCTAGAAATAAAGGTCAAAATGAGGACTTTACCTAGAAATGAAGGCCAATCTGAGGACTATACCTAGAAATAACGGTCAAACTGAGGATTTTACCTAGAAATGAAGGTCAAACTGAGGACTATACCTAGAAATGAAGGTCAAACTGAGGACTAGACCTAGAAATAAAGGTCAAACTGAGGAAAAAACCTAGAAATGAAGGTCAAACAACTTTTTGTTGTTAATTCACATCTTAATGTAATCATGGTGAAGTTTTATGTAGATCTACAGTGCTATCCACTACTACCAGACAACCTTACTAGTGTTCAATATTTGCTCATATGTAACAAAATATTTCATAGCTTTATTTAAAATCAAATCTATAGGGAAATCAATCAAAATATGAAAATTCATTATTCATATTTGAAGACATATTGGCAGTATCAACAGACCATTTGTTTCTACAAACATATCTCATATTGATATCAGAAACAAAAATCAATAGAAATTAATGCATGAACAATTAGACATTCCTATGAGAATAACAGCCATGCTTATAGAACTAGATGATATTGATCTTATCAGAAATAAACATGAAAACTACAACATGTATTTATATTCAGAGCCAAATAAATTACTAAATAAAGCTATTTTCAATTGTAAAAGAAAAATCATTTACAGATTGGGTTTTTTTCATTATGCAGTTATACAACCAGTTTGTTTTTTTAATATTTAAGTGTGATAGTGATTTCAGTCAGTGCAAATGTTAAAATGGACCTCTGTGTAGATGCTTAACAATTCAATCAATGGTCAGTAGCATTGTCATGACTAGGAAAGGAAACAAATAAAAGACTATTTGATTATAAACATTTATATATTGTTTTGTGACAAATACTAATTCTCATTTATAACTGGAGATACTTATGTAATTTACAAATCAATAATAATCAATTAACTTGACATTAATATTTATTCAGTGCATTCAATTTGACTTCTTTCCACAAAACGTGTATATCTCTAGAAAACATTTATTACCAGTAAATTTTCATACTTATACACATTCTTAGTGATCTGCAATCTTATACCTTCTTATTTAACAGTGTATTATATTAAATATCTGTCCGAGTACATAAAAGTCAATCTATTTATAATTTGGCAGGCAAGCAAATTTTTCAAGAACATACATTTTCCTCCTTAACATGTCATAACATTTTTTTAATTGCAAAAGGGTTTTCAATGGTTTTAGTTAAGTTTGGCAATCACTAAATTGAATGAATTCTATACTTTGAGTATTTGAGAATCAAAATATTTTACTAGATATGACCACAGCAGACATATAAGGGTTCTGTTTCCATATATTAAATATTTAGTTGGTTTATACAGCTGTACAAATACCTTTATAACATGTATAAGTATAAAAGGAACTATTAACAGTTATAGTTAATGAGGAAACTCTGAGATTGTAAAATTATTGATGCAAAAAAAAACTAGTTCAAATCTGTTTTTAATTTCTCATGCTTAAGACAACAATTTCATAAAACTAGAGGCTCTCAAGAGCCTGTGTCGCTCACCTGATTCTACTTTGGTTTTGGAAATCATGTAAAAATAGATTAAAATCATAACAGATACCCTAATAATGAGTGAGGCCAAATTTGGTTTAATATTGGTCCTGCAATTTAATAAAAAATCCTGGTGGCCATCTTGAACAGTAAATCGGCAACAAAGTAGCAACACTTAATCAGCACCTCATAAGAAACATTATGCCATGTTTTGGTTTCATTCCATTCAGTGCACCTCTAGAAGAAGCATTTGTATGTATTTCCCATAGGGTCTTATGTTAAAGGAAGTCCCCCCATTGGCGGCCATCATGGATGAAGGATCAGCTTCAAAGTAACAAAACTTAGTCAGCACCTCATAAGGAACATTCATGCCATGTTTGGTTTCAATCCATTCAGTATGTGGTTCTCTAAAAGAAGACATTTGTATGTATTGTCCATAGGGTCCTTTGTTAAACATTGTCCCCATCTGGCAGCCATCATGGATGAAGGATCAGCTTCAAAGGTAACAACACTTGGTCAGCACCTCAAAAGGAACATGCATGCCATGTTTGGTTTCATTCCATTCAATGGTTCTCTAAAAGAAAACATTTGTACGTATTTCTCATAGGGTCCTATGTTAAACTAAGTCCTCCGCTGGCGGCCATCTTGGATTATTGATCGGCTTCATAGTAACAACACTTGGTCAGCACCTCATAAGGAACATTCATGCCATGTTTGGTTTCATTGCATTCAGTGGTTCTCTAAAAGAAGACATTTGTATGTATTTCCCATAGGGTCCTATGTTAAACTAATTCCCCGCTGGCTGCCATCTTGGATGATGAATCAGCTTCAAAGTAACAACACTTGGTCAGCACCTCATAAGGAGCATTCTTGCCATGTTTGGTTTCATTCCATTCAGTGGTTCTCTAAAAGAAGACGTTTGTATGTATTTCCCATAGGGGCCCATGTTAAACTAAGTCCCCTGCAGGCGGCCATCTTGGATTATGGATCGGCTTCAAAGTAACAACACTTGGTCAGCACCTCATAAGGAACATTTATGCCATGTTTGGTTTCATTCCATTCAGTGGTTCTCTAAAAGAAGACATTTGTATGTATTTCCCATAGGGTCCCATGTTAAACTAAGTCCCCCGCTGGCGGCCATCTTGTATTATGGATTGGCTTCAAAGTAACAACACTCGGTCAGCACCTCATAAGGAACATTCATACCATGTTTGGTTTCATTCCATTCAGTGGTTCTCTAAAAGAAGACATTTGTATGTATTTCCCATAGGGTCCTATGTTAAACTAAGTCCCCCGCTGGCGGCCATCTTGGATTATGGATCGGCTTCAAAGTTACAACACTCGGTCAGCACCTCATAAGAAACATTCATGCCATGTTTGGTTTTATTCCATTCAGTGGTTCTCTAAAAGAAGACATTTGTATGTATTTCCCATAGGGTCCTATGTTAAACTAAGTCCCCCGCTGGCGGCCATCTTGGATGATGGATCCGCTACAAAGTAACAACACTTGGTCAGCACCTCATAAGGAACATTCATGCCATGTTTGGTTCCATTCCATTCAGTGGTTCTCTAAAAGAAGACGTTTGTATGTATTTCCCATAGGGGCCCATGTTAAACTAAGTCCCCTGCAGGCGGCCATCTTGGATTATGGATTGGCTTCAAAGTAACAACACTCGGTCAGCACCTCATAAGGAACATTCATACCATGTTTGGTTTCATTCCATTCAGTGGTTCTCTAAAAGAAGACATTTGTATGTATTTCCCATAGGGTCCTATGTTAAACTAAGTCCCCCGCTGGCGGCCATCTTGTATTATGGATTGGCTTCAAAGTAACAACACTCGGTCAGCACCTCATAAGAAACATTCATGCCATGTTTTGTTTCATTCCATTCAGTGGTTCTCTAAAAGAAGACATTTGTATGTATTTCCCATAGGGTCCTATGTTAAACTAAGTCCCCTGCTGGCGGCCATCTTGGATGATGGATCCGCTACAAAGTAACAACACTTGGTCAGCACCTCATAAGGAACATTTATGCCATGTTTGGTTTCATTCCATTCAGTGGTTCTCTAGAAGAAGTTCAAAATGTATAAAGTTAACGCCGACGACGGACGCCAAGTGATGAGAAAAGCTCACTTGGCCCTTCAGGCCAGGTGAGCTAAAAAAGTAGGTTATAAGTCATATATCAAGGGAAAGTTGCTTCCTGTTAACTTGAAATCTTGCAAAATTGCAACCAACTCTTTTCTTTTTGCTTAAGAATTTACATGGACATAAAATTTCCAGATACCAAAGCAAGGAATGACATGCACATGAAAATTCAATATACATGTATCATTCATTTATAGCTACCTCTAAGATAATTAATTACAAAACTAAAAAGCTGTACTAGATCATGAGAAAATCAAACTAATAATGAAAGATGAAGATATGTGTGAGTGTATTAATGTGAGCAAGCATAAGATAACACAATAGTGAATTACATGTATATAGGAATTAAATTAGAAAATTTTGAATTTCACATTCAAACATCAGGTAAGTTTAACTTGTCTCATATAAATTATATACTTATATGTTAGTTATTGTGAAAAAATATTCACTTTTAACAAAATTTCATGAACATGTATTTGAAGATTTTTATAGCTAAAAATTAAAACTTTCAAAAGCCCACAAATCTTTTTTAATAATAATTCATTCTGAGAAGTGATATTTATGATATGGTCGTTTGTTTGATTAAGATTCAGTAGAGTAAAATATAATAACTATGTCAATATTGAAAATTGGACTGATATAGGTTGTGTAAAGTCAAAGTATGGAATGATACAGGTCCATTACAGGA